TCCCGTATTGGCAGGTATAGAACCTTCCTGTCACCTCAGAAAGCTCCCTCAGATGGCACTCCTTTAGAGAAGGTGTTGAAACCTGGAGACTATCTATCCAGAAGAATTTTACTTTCTTCTCAGGGCTTCTCAGATTCCCCTGGAGTCCATCCATGTGCTCTAATTTCAGAACTCTTCCCTAAACTCTCATGGAGAACTGTCACAAAGGAATACTAATTCTCATACTCTTTCATAACTGTTTCCAAAATAAAAATTCTTAATCTAAAATTTTAGTATGTATTTTCCCTTTTAAATTGTATCAAAATAGAAATAAATTTACCTTTTCAGAAAGCATACTCTAAAGTTGAACTACCTCTACTCCCTCCACATCTTATTTTCTGTCAGACAATGTTGTATTTGCTTACCTGTTTACTCATTTTTGTCCCAACCCTAGACATCCCCAATTCCCAAAACACACAAGCAAGAGAAAGGCTGAGCCTTTATATGTGTCTTTTTCACTTTCATATCCTTATACTCTAACACAGTGACTGCTAAATAGCAAGTGTTTTTTTATCACACACACACACACACACACACACACACACACACACAGAGAGCATATGTTTATAAATATACATTTGTAATGAAAGCACTATCCTAATACTATATCAAGACAGACTATGTGTTAACAATTACTTATTAACTATCAGTTAACTATCACTAAAATGATTTTTCTAGGTTCTTTAGAAAACAATATGTCTTTTAATGACACTCAACTTACTGAAACTGCTTCTCAATAACCGTATTTTATATTCAGAACTACCTTCTGAGATAGCAACAGTCCCATCTTACAGAAGACACTGAAATAGAAAAAGCTTAGGCAGTTAAGATGTCACAGTCAGTTAATGGTGGAAGTTGTTCTGGTCCAACCATTTTAGAATATGTTGGCCATGCCGGTTCTTTGGTTGTAAGGTGTCTTTGTAATTACCTCTCTATTTGTGGAGATTCAGGGGACACACAATAAAATACTAGAAGTGGATGTGCTTTGAGAATAGAAGTGGTTTTTTTTTTTTTTTTTTGTTTTGTTTTTTTTTTTTTTTTGAGACGGAGTCTTGCTCTGTCGCCCAGGCTGGAGTACAATGGCATAATCTTGGCCCAGTGCAGCCTCTGCCTCCCAAGTTCAAGTGATTTTCCTGACTCAGCCTCCTGAGTGGTTGGGTTACAGGCGCCTACCACCATGCCCAGCTAATTTTTGTATTTTTAGTAGAGACGAGGTTTCATCATCTTGGTCCAGTGGGTCTCGAACTCCTTACTTCAGATGATCCACACGACTTGGCCTCCCAAAATGCTGGGATTATAGGCATGAGCCACTCCACTCGGCTAAGAATAGAAGTATTATTTAATATTATTGTGTACTGACCTCATGTTTTTACTGATGTTCTACTGTTTAGCATAATATTATCTATATCCCTGTGAAAGCTCTCCATTTTGATCTAGATCATTCCAAGGTTTGATTTGATAGTGATATCATTATCTAACTTGAGTTGGACTCCATTGTGTTTCTTAATTATGGAAATATTTGTTTTGTTGAAATAATGCTTAGAGATTTTAGAATTATCATGTGAGGAGAAAAAAAATACACATTTCCTTGGATTCTACAGAATCCAGATTCTATTGGGTTTTGACCTTGGGCAAGTTACTTAATTCTTACTAGACCTTTGGCAGAGAGAAACTGTGCTGAGGGAGAAGGGGAATTAAGGGAATAAGATAGGTTGGAGGACAAAATCTAGGTCTAAGTGAAACTAACGCTTTTAATACTTTTTAGTTCTTTTCAATTCCGTTCACTCCAGAAATTTTTATAGTATTTGGTGATGAAATAGATCAGGATTTTGCTTGTATTTTATCTTTTCTTTTTGTGTAATAATTCCATATTTTCCCCTTCCGTTTTGTAGTCATAAGACAAAGAACCATTTCTAAATGTTTTATCTGCTAGATATACTCATTTTATGCTGTTTTTATTTGGATAAGTCAGACAGAAGGAAAGGAAATTGATTTTTGTACAGATACTGTATACCATATGCTCTGTCAGTCATTTCCTGGGTTAATGCAGAAAGCGTTCTCTTCAACATGTAATATGTATATTCTGCACTTTGCCAGTGTAGAAAAGCCCTGAATTCTAACATTCATAAGCTATTAGTCATATACTTATGGAGACTTTTAGATATAAAGAACTAGAAGATTATCTAGGATAGAGTCTTCTCTTTACAGATGAGCAGAGGGAGACCCAGGTAGGGTAAGTAATGGTTTTCAAATGCCGTATAACTAGATTCAGGAACATGACTCCCAGGAACCTAGAGACCTCTTCTGTTGGGAAAACTTCCCAAGAGAAGCAATACCTACAGGGAATTTAGAGATAGGTTCATTAGTGAGATGAAACCCTGGGAGGGGTTGGCTGTGTTGAGAACCATTCCAGGCTCAGGAAGCAGCAGGTGGAAGAAGTCCTGAGTCTGGAAGCATCAAGGTACATTCAAGAAAGAGAGACATCAGAACATGGAAAGTGGCTGGAAAAGAAACCAAGGGTAGGGACATGCAGAAGCTTGCAGGCCCAGTTATAGGTTATGTGCAAGCAGAGACCAAGAAGGGGGTTACAAACGCAAGTAGGAGGAAGGCGAGAAAGGCTTTGACTATCATGTTTTGAAGCATCACACACCTGAAATTACCCCCAGAGAGAAGCAATTCAGTGAGTTTTGAGATTAGACTTCTAGAACTCACGTCTCATCTATTTAGGTAGGTAGATGTAAAGTTGCTTAACTTCTCTGTGCCTCATGGTACTCATTTGTAAGTAGGGGATAATAATGTTACCTATCTCATAGGGTTTTGTGAGAAATAAATGAGAATATACAAGTGTCTGCCACTAGGAAGAACTCTATAAAAGTTTTCTGCAAAATATAGTAATCATAATAATTATAGTATTCATTTCAACCATCTTTTGAGTACAGCAAAGAGCATTCATTCTTCATGTATACATACATAGGTCTACAATCCCTAATTGCCAATTCTAAATCCCCAAGGCCCTGAAAAACCACGTTTTTCTAAAAGTTTGCCATACGCTTATTTTGGTGACAGAACCTGACCTGAATGAATGTGAAACTATTTATGGTCTTTATCTATTTTACTTACTGTGAATATTCATTAGTTTCACTGTGGAAAATATTGCTGTATTTGATTCTGGGTTTTGTTCCAGACTGCGCCGGGAGGATTATATAAATAGCACTGTATTCTGTTCTAAAATCCAGAAAATTCTGAATTCTAAAACACATATGACTACAAGCGTTTCAGATAATTAACTGTGAATCTGTATAATCTCACTCAATCATCAGCCTAACCTTGATATTGATATTATCATCCCAAGCCTGCTGCCATGAAAACTGAGGTTTATCAATAGTTTGCATAATTTGCTCAAAGTCCCATGGTTCATCAGAGATGGAGCTGGAATTTTGGTCTAGAATTATCCAACAACATTTTGAACAGTGAGAGACATTTGTAAACTTTCCTATCTCTTATTTATATATATATTTTCAGCATTTGCGTAATTTAAATATTTCTATTTTCTAAAGAGCCATAGTTGATGTTTTCAGGAAATAGAAGCATTTTCATAACCTGATGGTTTTCTATTACCTAGAGGTTTTCTAAATAAGGGACTCCTTTAACAGTGATGGTAGTAAGAATAATAATATTATTCCTATTTTAAGTCAGCTATAATGTATCGAGCACTTCTTGTGTGCCAAACATTTAGCAAAGCACTTGTCACACATTATCTCATATAATCCTTACATCAACCCAGTGAGGTAGGTACTATTATTCTCTGTTTTATTAGGAGAAAACTGCAACTTAAAGACATTAAGGAATTGCCAACTGCACACAGATTGTAAATAACAGAGCAATAATTTGAATCCAGTAGACAGATTGCAGACACTGCATTCTTTTTTTAAGCTCCTCCTGTGTTTTATAATGATTAAAATAACACATACATATACACATGACAAAAATTAAAAACAGTAAAAAAATTACACAATCTTCTATTCCAGAATATAATGTAAAGATATCACCTCTCACAGTCACTATCACCTACTTTCTTTTGTATCATGCAGAAATTTGCCTTTGTGCATGTGTGCACGTGTGCACACACACACAGCATTTCCTTACTACCCACGTGAATATACACATTGTTCTGTAGCTTACTTTTTTCATATAGCACCATATTGTAGAAACTTTTCCTTATCAGCACATAGAAATCTAAATAATTGTTTTACATCTACTTAATGTTTCAGTGTATGGATGTAAAAAATTTATTTAACTAGACTCCTTTGGATGACTATTTAGATTGTTTCTAATTTATGGCTCTTGCAAATTTGCTGCAAGTGAATATTTTTACAAAACACCTTTTCATAGAGGTTTGAGCATATTTCTAAAATAAATTTTCAAGCAGTGGAAAATTTATGCTGGGTTAAAAGGACACTGAAGTTTAAAAAAACTGGAAAATGTTGGCAAATTTTTCCCCCAAAATATTTATTTTCTTAACAGTATGTATTATGAAACTTTTAAAATCCTCTCGCATTTGAAGATGAAAACTGTAATGTTTTAGTCTCAATTTAAATTTAATTATTGACAAAGATGAGAACATTTTTCTGTTTACAAAACACTCATGTTTGTATTTCTAAAGCTGACGATTCCTTTCCTTTATCCTTTCTTCCATAGGTTCTGAAATATTTTCTTACTGGCTTTCAAGAGCTCTTTACACATTAATGATGAGTCTGTCCTCTATGTTGCTGATATTTTTCTGAGTTTTTAATTTGTCATTTAGTTATATTATGTGTATACTGTAAAAAGTTGTAAATTTTTATGTAGTTAAATGTTTCAGTCTTTTCTTAGAGCCCACACTCCTAACCATTAGGTTAAGCTGCCTGTCTAATTTCCAGAATGATGACATTCATTCCAGTTTTATTGTCACTTTTGTTCAGGTGTTTTAACAGAACAAGTGTCGGGTCCTCTAGGACAGAACCTGGAAGTGGAGCCATACTCACAATACAGCAATGTCCAGTTTCCCCAAGTTCAACCACAGATTTCCTCATCATCCTATTATTCCAACCTGGGCTTCTACCCTCAGCAGCCTGAAGAGTGGTACTCTCCTGGAATATATGAACTCAGGCGAATGCCAGCTGAAACTCTCTACCAGGGAGAGACTGAGGTAGCAGAGATGCCTGTAACAAAGAAGCCCCGCATGGGCGCATCAGCAGGGAGGATCAAAGGGGATGAGCTGTGTGTTGTTTGTGGAGACAGAGCCTCTGGATACCACTATAACGCACTGACCTGTGAGGGATGCAAAGGTAAGCGTTTTCTCTAGATTGGCAGTTTTCTCCTTCAGGTTTTACTATATTGGTTGTTGAAATCCCTTGGACTAGATGCTTTTCTTTCCCCAGCCAACTTCTCATTTTCTCCTCCTCTGCTCCTACCTCCTCATCTTTGTTGGGCAGTCATAGATCTATAGGAAGACTGTTAAGAGTATTTAGCTTAGGTAAAAGTAATCTTTTTCCTTTTCAAAACCTCACACATAGCTAAAGACAACTTGTGATTAAATTTAACTTGTTGTAGGTTTTGTTTGGTTTTGTGTTCTTTTTAAAGAAAGAAGAAACTTTAACTCATCTCTTAAAATTAAGATCAAGAGTACAACTTTATTCAGTAAACATTTAAAAATACTTTTTCATGTACTTAAAGAAAGAAAGAGCAAAGTAATAATAGCTTATATTTTAAAAAATTTCATTTAGCCTGGGGTGGTGGCTCATGCCTGTAATCCCAGCACTTTGGGAGGCTGAGGCGGGTTGACCACTTGAGTCCAGGAGTTCAAGACTAGCTAGAGCAATGTGGAAAAATCCCATCTCTACAAAAAATACAAAAATTAGCCAGGTATGGTGGAGCACGCCTGTTGTCCCAGCTACTTGGGAGGCAGAGACGGGAGGATCACCTGAGCCTGGGAAGTTGAGGCTTCAGTGAGCCATGATCATACCACTACACTTCAGCCTGAATGACAGGAGAGACCCTGCCTCAAAATATATATATATATTTTATTTATCAGTAATATAGATTTGTGATAGATGCTATAGAGCAATCATAAGAAAATTGCAATCCATTTAGGATGGATAAAATATAACAAATGAAATATAAAAATGGCAATGTAAAGTCCCATGTGATTACTGTCTCAACTATGGCACAGGTAATAAGTTTGTAAAATAGGTTCATCTGTTTATTGTTGTAATAATAATTTATTCATTAAACAAATATTTGGGAACACCCACCATAAGCTAGGCACTCTGCTAGCCTCTAGAACATTGAACACTGAATAAAAACTGTCTCTTGAGCAGAATCTTTTGGATGGTGTGCCACATTGGGGTTCTCAAATGCTGATAGTTGCTATGAAAATAAACAGAGGACCCAGTCACATAAGAATGGCTCAAAGACATTTCAAACCTTTGAAAGTTCAAATGATCAGATTGCGTAAAGCCATATTAGTCACTTCTTAAAAACTGTGAATGACACCGTTACAATGTTTTTTTAAGTAAGAAGCATTAATACACCAACTTTAAAAACTAAAGCAGATCTATAAAGAAAACTTAAAAGATCCCATTTATGACCTTCAGAATGTCCTTAACCTTTTTGTGGAGAGTCACGTTTGACTAGGTAAATGAACTTAAACATTCTTTGGACGCATAGATTATGTCTTCTCTACCTTTATTGCTACTGATAACACCTAGCACAGTGCCTGGTACATAGGAAATATGGAGTAAATGTCTTTTGAATGACACAATGAAAAAACATGTTCAGCACTGGTACTTAATAAGTCTCTACTTTGTAAAACTGCATTCAAATTTTTTTTTACAATACTTAATTCTTCCCCATCTCCAAATGATAAAAAGTAAATATTACCTTCAATTACTATATGAAGTGAAAGATCTTTTTGGGCTGACAGAATGTGGAGATTGAGATCTGCTTATGCTACAAATTTTAAGATGGGGTGGAATTAAAGCAGGAAACCATTTCTAATTGGTTAGAAAAATAAAATAGGCCAGGTGCAGTGGCTCACATGTGTAAGTCCCAGTACTTTTGGAGGCCAAGGCAGGCAGATCACCAGAGGTTAGAAGTTCAAGACTAGCCTTGCCAACGTGGTAAAACCCCGTCTCTCTACTAAAATTACAAAAATTAGCTGGGCATGGTGGCGTGCACCTGTAGTCCCAGCTACTCAAGAGGCTGAGGCAGGAGAATTGCTCAAATCCGGGAGGCAGAGGTTGCCATGAGCCGAGATCATGCCATTGCACTGTAGCCTGGAGGACAGATCGAGACTCCATCTGAAAAAATAAAATAAAATAGTTTCCAAATGACAGGCCTGAAACTGGAACTAAAGTAAACAAAAATAAAACTTTTACAGATCCAACCGCTCATCTATGTAAAAGAAAATGAACAAATTTTGTAGTAGCTCTAGTCAAAAAGTGACTGGGGCTCTTACACTGGAGGGCAAAATTAGTACCAAAAGCTGAAGCTTATAGGGTTCCATGTTTTGAGGCCTAATTCAAGAGTTAATTTTTTAGCACTAACATGAATTGTCCCAAAAATGAGATTGGCTTTTTGCCTTAGGTGGTAATGAACTTCTCATTATTATGGAAATTCAAAAAGAGGTTACATGAACAGGCTTGAGTGCTCCCATTACAGGAAATTATTATGTTATATGGGATACAGGATTAGTTGGCTTCTGAAGTCCTTTAAATCCTTTGAATCCGTAGTACCCATCTTTATAATATTCTAATTATTTCGTGCCTGTTTCTTCTTCTAAGCAAGTTTGTAAATTTCATGAGTTGAAAAGTATCTGTAATTCATGTCCTCCCTCCTATTGCTATGAATTGATGAAAGGCAAAGATAGACCACGGTTTTTAAACCTTGACACTATTGAGATTTTAGGCTGGAAAGCTCTGTGTTGTGAGGGGATGTCTTGTACATATTGTGGGATATTTAGTAGTAGCCTGGCTTCTGTCCACTAGATCCCAGTAGCAATCCCCAATTTCTGACAACCAAGTGTCTACAGATGTTGAAAAATGTCCTCTCAGGGACAAAATTACCCCAGCTGAGAATCACTAAGAGAGACTATTCAGTGAAAAGTATAATACAGAGCTTCTCAAACTTGAGCTACACATGGAGCTTTCTTGAGGGAAGCTATAATATTTCCTATGTGCCTCTAATGTTGACTTAAATTACTTTTAATGAATTACTTATATTATTAAGCAATTAGAGCATAAGCTTTATTATAACTATATTATATTGCTTATCATCTTTTATACACTGAAATATTTCTGTATAACAAAAGAATAAAAAATTTACAAAATTAAATACAAATAAAACTACAAAACCAATAAAACAATATGAGATCATATAATTTTGTTGCTCAATATGTTACCAAACTTAGGTTCTTCTGAGTTTGATATACCTAGACCATGTATCATATGAGGCCTCAATTCTCCACTGCTTTTCTCTCTTTGAACAGTTGATTCTTCCAAACCTTTGTTCATGCAGAGCTCCATTTGGCCATCCCTGAGCTGGGTAAATCTTGGGCATATGAAGTTTACCTTTGCCATAGCGTTTTTTTTTTTTTTTTGGAGACAGAGTCTTGCTCTGTTGCCCAAGCTGGAACGTCATGGTGCGATCTCCACTCACTGCAACCTCCGCCTCCTGGGTTCCAGTGATTCTCCTGTTTCAGCCTTCCCGAGTAGCTGGGATTACAGGTGCCCACCACCGTACCTGGTTAATTTTTATATTTTTAGTAGAGATGGGATTTCATCATGTTGGCCAGGCTGATCTTGAACTCCTGACCTCAGGTGATCCACCACCTTGATCTCCCAAAGTGTTCAGATCACAGGCATGAGCCACTGCGCCCGGCCTATCATAGCTCTTGACAACCAAATCATACTTCTTGCTGCTAATGGGCACAAACAAAACTAAGGGTGATTAGTTTGAATGTCAGTATAAGATGGTCATAGACATGATCCAGACAATGCTATTATTAGTTTTTTAAATACTGTCATAAAATAAAAATGTAAAAAACATGTGTAAAGGCCTTAGAAAAAATTGTGGCACATAGTCAAAACTCAATAAATGTTTGTTGTTTGTATTGTTATGGTCCTAGAATTGATTTATGTATCATGTAATGGCAGTGTGAGTATTTTCTGCCTATATTGATGAATGTTGATGCCCCAATTCGTTGTGAGTTGTTTAACAATATTTATTTAACATAGATTCAGATTACCTACAGCCACTTCAACTTGTCTGTGTAGACCAATGCTACTAAAAGCATAGTACCTGGACCAGCAGTATCAGTATCACTCGAGAATTTATAGAACTTTGGGGTTTTACCTCAGACTTACTGAATCAGAATTTCTGGAAAAGGGGTCCAAGAATCTGTGATTTAACCAGCACTACATGCTAAAGTTTGAGAATACTGGGGTACAAATCATATCCAAAAAGCCACCTAAGGCCACTCATCTGGCCAAGCATCTTGGTTGTATGTTATGACTGTGAAACCCACAGGACAAGAAAAGAGAACAGAAAGAATGCTTCCCTCCAAAAGCACAATTCAGTAGAATAATATGTAGTCTTTAAACCTGAACTGGAAAGACACAAAGTCTAATCTAACTCTTCTTTCCTACTAGGGGAGAAAGAAGCAGAAAAGAACATGCATAATTTATTCTGCAAATCTGATTCAAAGAAAAATTTCAATGTATATACTTTTGAACCTACAAATTTCAGTACTGATGACATGCTAATTCTTATGGTAGGCATTTTAGGAACTTTCTCTTTCGACTTTACAGCAACTATGGAAAGTAGGTATTATTGTGCCTATTTTAAAGTAAGGAATAAGCATATCATTCCCAAAACAAGCTAAGATTTAGGGATGCCAGTGCTAATAACTTGTGTGATGCGTTTTACTATACTTTTTTTTTTTTTTCTGAGATGGAGTTTTGCTCTTGTTGCCCAGGCTGGAATGCAATGATGCTACCTCGTCTCACTGCAACCTCGGCCTCCTGGGTTCCAGTGATTCTCCTGCCTCAGTCTCCTGAGTAGGTGGGATTACAGGCCCCTGTCACCATGCCCAGCTAATTTATTTATTTATTTATTTATTTATTTATTTATTGTATTTTTAGTAGAGATGGGTTTCACCATGTTGGCCAGACTGGTCTGAAACTCCTGACCTCAGGTGATCCACCTGCTTTGGCCTTCCAAAGTTCTGGGATTACAGGCATTAGCCACCACACTTGGTCATGTTTACTATACTTTAGTAATAAACGTA